TGTGTTTATTGCATTTTTGGTTCACATATGTTGTTGAAATTAAATGCACATTATATGTATACATAAATGATATCATTATGTCAATATAATTGACCATTTAAAATTACACTAAACAACACATCGAAATGAATCAAATTTCTTTTTCAAATAAATTAAATGAATAAAACAAACTTTGGTTGATCAAGTGGTTGCAGTCCTTCACGTGATTTTCCAACAGGATTTTTTTCAGCTTCAACTTTATCCTATTAAAAGCAAAAAAAGAGAAACCATGAGTTTTGACATTTATCTAATTTTATCTATGATTGTAACTTACACCTAATAGAGTTGTGCCACGAATAGAGCCCATCGGGTCCGGGTCTGAAACTTTTTGCTCATTAGGACCGAATCAAAAAACCTTTTGATGCATATAATGAAATCTAAGAGTATGATTCAAGTCCGGACCCACAAAAAAATGATCAGTCAGGTCCGAGTCGGAAAATCTTGATCGATTGGGTCCGGATTCGGATCCAGAAAAATTAAATTCACCGGGTCCGGGTACAGAAATTCTTGGACCCGATGGGTTCTAGTCACGAATTTCTCCAATTTTTAATGGAGCAATCATTGACCACCAATCTAAATAAATCAATAATCGAAATTGATTTAAAAAAAAATTAAATTATCACCAGCGCAACAATACGCACGCTTATTTACAAATAAATTTAATGATCGATGTTTTGAATCAACTAGAATTTTCAACTCTAAAATTGTTTGATGATTTAGCACCCAGTGGCAAATATGTCATATTAAGAAGACATTCACCGAAAAATAGTTTAAATATATTTCAATAAGAAATAAGAAAAACAAACCGAGAAAATCATTAACTGAAGGTGAGTGTGGGTGTTTGTCTTCTTCTTACCCACACCCACTCCCACACTACACCCTAAGATATTGTTGGTTTTTCTAACAAATATTTTTCCATGGATTGATATAACATCTCGTTCAATCAACCAATTATTGACAATATTTAAAGCTATTGTGAAAAATCTTGATAGAACATGGCATTCTCTGAATGTTCTGTTGATTACCTCTTGCGTGTTGTATAGGGTGGGTGTGGGTGTGGGTACGGGGTAGGGTGTGGGTGGGTGTGGGTGGGTGTGGGTGGGTGTGGGTGGGTGTGGGTGGGTGTGTGGGTGTGTCTGTTTTCTTCATCCACACCCACACCCTTCTTATTTATTTAAAGAAATATTTATTATTCTTGGCCAAAAATAATCAATTAATATTGTTAGTAACATATGTAATAATGAACATATTATAAAACTAGCAAATGAACATTCATGTATCCATTTGATTTCATTTGATGATATATATGTTAATAAAAGAAGAAATGTTAATTCAAGAAAATGAAAAGTACTATTTGTTATTTTGTACTAATGTATAACATTCAGGATAATCAATATGATGACGATTAAGTAAATGATTTAATTGTAAATAAGCAATGATATAACGAGGAATACTATCCAAAGCAAAACATAAACGCCATATAAAACGTTGAGGTTCATAGTCACCAATTGATGCTGATATTGATGGAAGAAACTTAGAAATATTACAATGTGTATGTATCGATTTTTCAAAATCTTTCATTAATGATAAACTAACACAAGAAAATAGAGCAAAACATGGTAATATATAAGCAAACCATATAAACTGACGCACAGAAACATGAATACCTACCAAAATAAAACTTGAATGAAATACAATAATAAAAATTCAAAACAAAAGCAGAAAATTTAATTACGTGACAACATAGTTTGACGAGTCGTATGCATCTGAATGGAATAAGATAAATATTAAAATCTGAAACGATTTATGTCACATATATTTAACAATTCATACGAAAACCTTAGGAAATCCGTAATCAGGGTTGCCATTTCTTCTGCTTTTTTTCCCCTGTTTCATAAAAATAAACTTTATTTTTGAGCAATATTTGTTATTTAGACAATGCACACTTTACATCTTCAGATTGTTGGGAGTCATTCGAGTCTATCATCTACTAGCGTGATTTATTCACTCAATGAAGATGCGATTGTTTCACGATTCTTTATTCTGTAAGAGGTTTGGTTCGATTTGTCACTGGTAACGTAGAAACATCATTCCGTTTCCTTTCCAGTTAATCACTTGTTCTGCTGATGTTTAAAATGATTCATGTTTTTTCAATCGTTATTTTTTTCTAGATTTTGCTTAGAAAACCTCAGTTTCAAAAAACGAAGTTGTATGATTTTAGATTTGATGGATTTGGAAGAAAATAATACCTCTAGAAACTGAATGTCGATCGATTTAATAGTTATTATGACGCGGTGAGATGACAACCCTGCTTACAATGATCTAATTGTGGAACATGCGCAATAAATTATTATCATCATTCAAGAAAAAAATCTATTGAACGTCTCGAAATATTATGCCTGCTGATTCTTTTCTTTTATAATTTGTTTTTGCAGAAGAAAATATTCGACATCGGATGATTTTAAAAATCAATGAAACGATTGTCGAGTTGATATGAAAAGATTCTTGACTCTGCAGAATTACGAAAAAACATGTGCCATCATAAGTGACAGGATTCCATTGGCTTTTTTTTCAATCGTGATGATTTATCAAACCTGTAAATCATTCATTCTTCAAATACATTAACCCTTTACTTCCCATAGCAGTTCCAGAACAGTTATGCACGAAACAACCGTTGAAATAGAGTATTGACGCTTCGAATATGCCAAAACTACGAACAGATCGAACAAATACTCTATCCTTGCTGCAGAGTAATTTGGTCACTGGAGTGACCACTGAGGGGAGGGGGAAGGACTTGAGAAAGTTCTATTTTGAACCTTCACAGTAGATTTGATCTAGTTCGATCGAAACACGTCGTAGAGAATTCGAATTTTTTCAACAAAGGTAGTTTTGTTTCAATGAAATTTTGCAATAGACAACCATCGAAGAATAATGGATCACTGAAATCTCTATGGTTGATTAATTGAAGATGCTCTAGTCTAGGAAAAAATTATAGAAGTATCTCAACATTATCGATTTTTAACTCAGAACTGTTCAACGAAAGTGAAGCTAAATAACTGAATTGTGTAACATCAGAATTCATAATAATAGTCTTATGTAAATCATACAATTGAACATCTGTCATAACTAATGTTCGTAGATGAGGTAAGTGGCTAAGAACCACTTGAATTATATCCCAACTACAAGAGTGAAAAATTGTCAAATGTTCCAATCGACATTCTACGGGCCATTGAATTTCATCGAGAAGCGAACTACCTGCTGAGAATTCGAATTCACGAAGATGAATATTTGACATAATAGATGACAACTATGCTTGTAGATTGATAATATCATCAAATGTAAGGAATATTGAAAATTTCCTAAGAGGGCATTG